GCGGGAGAGCGGGAGAGCGGGAGGCTCACCCGGCCTGCAGGCAGCCGCCACCCTCTGCAGGAGCCCGTGTGAGGTGTGGCCCGGCTGGGCGGGCGGTAGCGGAGCCAGGATGTAGAGCTCGGCTGCGGGGAGTGGGTCCCGGAGGATGTCACCTGTGGGACAGGAAGGGGGTTCAGGGGCGGGACAGAGGGCCCCGCAGGGCCGGGACGGAGGCCGGAGAGCTTTTACCGGGCCCCACACGCCTTACCAGGCACAAAGCTGACGTGTGCCCTCTCTGCTCCGTGGGGCCGAAACAAGGAGGCGTGTTCGATGACGTCGGGGAGGTCAAACACGGTCACCTGGAGCCCTGGGTACTCCCGGGCCAGCTCGTGCGCGAGGGCGCCTGTGCCGCCTGTGGGACAGCCAGCATACATGCTGCAGGGACACAGGCGTGATGGCCGGCTCTGCTGCAGCCACTCTGGGCCAACAATAGCTGTACGTGGAAGGTGGGGAAATGTAGGGTGGGGGCGTGGGAGTCCTAGTTCCCTGACCCCACGTTGACCCCTGGGAAGGTTTCTGCTGCTCTGTGGGCGCCCAGCTACCGGAAGTGTGGGGTCAACGCACCTCCCAGGTGACAGGCAGAAGTGAATCGAGAGAGGTCCATGGCCCTGGCCACCTCGTGTGCGGTCAGCTGGGCCAGCCCATGCACGGCCCGGAGGAGCTGCAGCTGGGGCTGCCGGGGCTGGGACAGAGCAGTTATGAGGCGGGGAATGAGCAGCGGGCAGCCTGCAGTCTCGGCCCAGAGCTGAGACCTGGGCACCGCCCTCTCACTCTGTCGGGAGCTCTTGCTCCGGCTCTGTGTCTGTGTCTTTTCTCTTCCTTTTTCTCAGTACAGTGGAACGAACCCGGGACCTGTGCACGGGGCTCTGCCCCCAGCCCTTTCTTTACTTTTAGATTTTGAGTCTTAGGGGCTCAGGTTGGGCTCCAGCTTGAGATTCTCCTGCCTCAGCCTCCCAGAGTGCTAGGGTGGCAGGTGTGAGTCACCAACATCTGACTTCTCTCTTCCTCCACCTTTTTTTCTGCTTCTACCTCCCTCCTCCCTACTGTCTGCCTCTACCTCTTTCTCTGTGTCTATTTCCTTCTGTCTGCATCGTCTTCCCATTTTCTTTTTTGGTAGCAGGACTCGAACTCAGGGCCTCCCTCTTCCCAGGTAGCTGTGCTGACTGCTGAACTCCGTCTCCAGCTCCTTCCCTCGTTTTGTGTCCCTCTCTCCCTGTCTGTTTTCTGTCTCCGTCTCTCTCTCTCCCTCTATTTCTTTCCTTCTCTCTTTGCATCTCTGTTACTGTGTGTTTCTGTCTCCGGTCTCCCTGTGTATCTGTCTCCGCTTCTCTGTCCTCCTTTGCGAGATGTGTTCTTTTTCGAGACCGTGTCTCGCTATGGAGCCTAGGCTGGCTTTGAACATCCAGCAGTCCTCCCGCCTCAGCCTCCCGGTGCTGGAATGACAGGTGTCCGTTCACACGGAGACGCGGTGTGACGCCGTCTCCCCCGCCGTCCTTGGAGCTGTGACACGGTTTGCGCCTACAGGGTCCTCAGTGTCGACCTCCTCCCCGCGGCCCCGTGGCAGGTGGGGGTCAAGGCAGACGTGAGGTAATGGGGGGTGGCCGCGCCCCCTCCTTCCTGGCGCCCCCGGGACTCCATTTCCCTCTCCCTTCACCCAGACGTGAGTGAGGTGTGGACGCGTCCAGAGCCTACCTGGGCCCGGCCGGGGGCCTCCGCCTGCGTCCCCTCGGCCTGAGCGCCGCTGTGCAGGACGTAGCCG